CAAAAGAATGTCCTCTAAATATAGACATGTCAAGGCAAACCGTTAAGTCATTTTGCAAGGCTGGCTTATTTAATAATACACATTTGCAACTTCCTCGAACCCCTCTCAGGTCCTTCTATAAGCAGCCTTGGACCTTGAGGTTTCTCTCTTTTAGCCATGGCTAAACCTCCGTCCTTTGGCTGCTTCTTCTTCCTCTTATTCTTCTTCTTTTTATCCTCTTCCTTCGTCGCATATGCCATATCCGACTCAGAAGCTGCCTTCCTCGTACGTCGACAACTCCTAACCTTACACGAAAACGACGACGGAGAACTTCCTGAAGATGTTGAGTTCGAAGTCGATCTCAAGGCTACATTTGCAAACTCAAGGCTTAAAAAAGCATACATAGCACTCCAAGCTTGGAAAAAAGCGATTTATTCAGACCCGTTTAACACCACAGCGAACTGGCATGGCCCCCATGTCTGCGGCTACACCGGTGTGGTCTGCGCACCGGCTCTTGATGATGACAACGTAACCGTTGTAGCTGGTGTTGACCTCAACGGTGCTGATATCGCGGGACATTTACCCGTTGAGCTTGGTTTGATGACTGACGTTGCTATGTTCCATCTAAATTCAAACCGTTTCTGCGGTATCATCCCTAAGAGCTTTGAGAAGTTGAAGCTGATGCATGAGTTTGATGTTAGTAGTAACTGTTTCGTTGGACCGTTCCCTAACGTTACTCTCTCTTGGCCGGATGTTAAATACTTCGACCTTAGGTTTAATGATTTTGAAGGTCAAGTCCCTCCTGAGCTTTTCAAGAAAGAGTTAGACGCTATTTTCTTGAACAACAATAGATTCACTTCGGTGATTCCTGAAACTTTAGGAGAATCTACTGCCTCTGTTGTGACTTTTGCTAATAATAAATTCACCGGATGTATCCCTAAGAGCGTTGGAAACATGAAGAATCTTAACGAGATTGTCTTTATGGACAATGGTTTGGGCGGTTGTTTCCCGTCTGAGATTGGAAAGTTATCGAATGTGACGGTTTTCGATGCGAGTAAGAACTCGTTCATTGGTCGTCTACCGACTAGCTTTGTCGGGTTAACGGGTGTGGAGGAGATGGATATCTCTGGGAACAAACTTACTGGATTAGTAGGGGATGAGATTTGCAAGTTGCCTAATTTGGTTAACTTTACTTATTCTTACAATTACTTCAATGGACAAGGTGGTTCGTGTGTTCCTGGTGGGGGTCGGAAGGAGATTGTGTTGGACGATACACGTAATTGTCTGACGGATAGACCTGACCAACGGTCGTCTCAGGAATGTGCTGTGGTGATTAACCGTCCTGTTGATTGTAGCAAGGACAAGTGTGCTGGTGGTGGTTCCTCTACTCCATCTAGAGCATCACCGGTTCACAAGCCATCACCGGTTCCAGCTCCGGTTATTGAAAAACCGTCGCCGGTTCCAACTCCGGTTATTGAAAAACCGTCGCCGGTTCCAACTTTACCGGTTCACAAACCACAACCACCGAAAGAGTCTCCAGTACATGATGATCCTTTCGATCTGTCACCGGTGAGGAACCGACGCAGTCCACCACCTCCGGTGGTTTTCTCTCCTCCACCAGCTCCGGTAAACTCTCCTCCACCACTTCCTCCTCTACCTTCACCACCACCACCACAAGTCCACTCTCCACCGCCACCGGTTCACTCTCCACCACCACCCCCTGTCCACTCTCCGCCACCGCCTGTCCACTCTCCTCCACCACCGGTGCACTCTCCACCACCACCGGTGCACTCTCCACCACCACCAGTCTATTCACCACCGCCCCCGCCCGTCTACTCGCCACCACCACCCGTATATTCCCCACCTCCACCAGTCCATTCGCCTCCGCCGCCACCTCCGGTTAACTCACCACCGCCACCTGTTCACTCACCGCCTCCACCTGTCCACTCACCGCCTCCTCCTGTCCACTCACCGCCTCCACCTGTCCACTCGCCGCCTCCACCTGTCCACTCGCCACCGCCGCCGCCTGTTAACTCTCCACCTCCACCGGTGTTTTCTCCTCCAGCTCAACCGCCTAAATCCAGTTCACCACCACAAGCACCGGTCCAACCGTCACCATCGCCAGCTGTAACTCTTCCACCAGTAGTCTTCTCTCCTCCCCCAAGATCGCCAACGATCAACTCCCCACCAGCTCCGGTGGAAGAGAAACAGACGCCACAAGCACCAGCTCCAGTGGAAGAGAAACAGACTCCGGCAGCACAAGCACCAGCTCCGGTAGAAGAGAAAGAGACGCCAACAGCACAAGCACCAGCTCCAAGTGATGAATTCATCATACCACCTTTCATTGGTCACCAATACGCATCTCCACCACCTCCAATGTTCGAGGGCTATTAATATCGATCTCGCAAGAGACAAGAAACAACAATGTATGAAAAAGTAAACTGTATCGTCTAGGACTAACATTGTAATACAAAAGAATATAAAATTTGAGGAAGAAAGAAGAAGATAATTGAAGGGTAAATTATGTATGATTATGGAAAAACTTGTTATCAGATGTTTAAATTTGTGACAGTTACAACTTCTGATGGTCGATAAATGATTTATACTTCTTATTCTAAGCAAAAAAAAAAAAGAGTTTTTTTTACTCTTTTTTTTTTTGGGTCAAACATTTGGCTAAACCCCTGAATTTGAGAAATTTGTTCCACATTCAGGATTCACCTTGAAATTTCTCACGTACTAACAAAAAGAATGAGAAAATATCTGAGCTGTGAATTATCACCTTATTCTACAAATCAAAATCCTAAAATCTATATCATCATGATAAGTCACTTCTTTCTGCAATTGTATCAGCTCATCAGATGTGAATTTCCTAAAAGACGATAACAGAAACATGTTATAAATTGCTTTACTAAAAATGAAAAATAGTACATGTACTTGTTATCATGATAAAAAAGGACCATGGATAATAGCGTCTCTTGTATTCATCCCATTTATCATCCATGTTCAGTAATCAGTATCACGAAATTATTGTCGCAAGAACCCTACTTTTTGGAAATTATGTATATGGATGGCTTCGCGTCTACATCATTATTTATCCTTTAATTAAGTTTTTAGAACTATTATTACATAATACAATTATTTATTCCACGACTAACAACTCTGTTTAGAAATATATAGGTTTAAGAGTTGTCCAGAAGTTGATAAAAAAAGGGTTTAAAATTTCTCTCGCATCCTTTTCATACAACAACTTAATGTAGCTTCATGATCATATCTTAATTTCAACAATTATTCTCGGAAAATATGAACAGGAATTTTTTAATTGATAACGACAGAAGAGTTTCTATTATTGTGAACAGCCAACCATTCATTAATGTGCTTTGTTTGTGTTGCGCGACTTGCAATTGCATGCGTCGTAGTTAATATAAGACCATATATGTCTTGTTAAAATAATACTCCCTCCGTTTTTATTTAAATGACATTTTGGAGCAAATTTTTTATCCAGATATATTTGACGTTTTACAGAACCCAAAACAAATTATAGTGACAAATGACCATATTTACCCTATATTTAATCTATTCCTATATGCTTTACGATACAAGTTGTTCAATTAATGAAGGATAGAAATGATATTGTACTAGCTGCATTAATTTGTGTGAAGATTGCTATAACGTCAAATAAAAGAAAACGGAGGGAATATATATATGTATTAAGCATATGCACGATTTTGTTATGGTGAGTTTGCCTATAACAAGTTTTAAATTGTACACAGACGTAATGATTTGTGTAGACATTAGGTTGGTTACGCAGTTGGTTATTAATCACAATGCCTTGACAAAAAAAAAGAGTATACCTCTGCCTCTAATGTAAAAGTTTTCTTTTAAGATCACGAGTTCGAAATTCAGCGGTGAAAAGGTGAATGAACCCACAGGGCACAACCGCCATCAGCCGTGACAAACTTTGGCCCCGTACCACACATGATACACATTTCTTTCCTTTATTGGTTTGTTGTGAACTTGTGATAAACCTCACGGCATGGTTCAAAATCTTTAAATCTCGAGCACAATTGTATTTAATGTTTTTGTATCACTAAAGACTATAACAATTTCTGAAAGTCCTTTTTGTAATCATACCGTGAAAAGCTAAAATGACCTCGCTATGAAGCTTAATTTTTTGCAGTATTTCGATCAATAAAAATATAAATGTATATTAATCATATCAGGTGTTTAAAGCTTTGTATACGAGGTTGTACTTATTATATGCTTAGGGCATGCGCATCAGTAATCCGAAAAACTCGAGTTCATAGGTGACAATTTTAATTATTTAATTTATTTTTCGATTGATATTTTTTTTTTTTAAAGTTAATAACGGGCCAATCGTGGACCGCCACGTAACGTGGGGCCCACAAAACAGTAATGATACCGTATCACCATAGAGAGTTCGCTCGAGGCGAGTTCAACCGAATTGGATTATTTTAATAGTTTTTTTTGTTGGAAAGCGTGAGAGCTTTTGGTTACATCTCTCAATGCGGATGTCCTTAATGGCTTAACTAATAATTTGCACTTCTATGCAAAAGAAAAAAATATCATTTTCGCGTGTGAAAATGATATACGATAGTGGAAGGTCGATACTCGATACAAATGATTTTTTACGATAAAATATATTTTGTGATAGTCGACAAAAAAAATTGTGAGAGAAGTAAACACAAAAATATAAGAATTACTTTTATTAAGAAAATGTTGAGCTAATGAGATATTTTTGTGTGAAATAACTAAGAGATTTACCTCCTTGTTAATTCAGTTGTGCTAATCTTTAGTTATTCATGGTGGCGAGATACATTTAACGATCTAACGAGGCATTATCAGATTTTTTTAATGCCTAAACTATTTGAAAGAGTCCACGTTCCAAGCCAGATCCCAAGGCATCTATCTCCTAAGAGGACTAATCAAAATTTTGATATATTGATTAACTTTTCTTGAAGTACTTCAATATATATCATTATGAAGACATTAGGGTTGTTTCCGTTGCACGTCTTTTTCTTCAGCGGCTTTTTGTTGTTGTTGTTCCTCTTAAGCTCTTCATCAACCAACTTGCGCACGTAATTATTACACTCGTATTGCTCAATTTTATGCAAAAGATAATCTGAATAAATGGGGACCATGAAGAAAGAAACTCGAGAGAAGTGCAAATCTTATTGAAACAAAATTAAAGAGTTACAAGAATCAACAAAAACTACATCGAAGATTCCACCACGACAAAGGCAAGGGAACGAAGGTATATGATTCAACAAAAGTAAAAAAAAACAAAAAAAGATTTTCAAGGGAGAAATCCAAAGATGAATTGAGAAGGGTAAGAAGGGGAAATGCCCTGGCGGAGGAGAGGAGGAGGAGGCAGAGCAGTACGGTGGTTGAGGTGTTCCCGCCAAACAATCTTGACGGTTTCAGCCACCACTACGACAAACTCAACACCTATCTTCATGAGCTCTATACACATCTCTATCCTTTTTATCACCATGATTCTTCTTTTTTTCTCTAGTAAATATTTTTTTCTTCAACTCTCTCTCTCACAGTCTCACTTCATCTTCTTTGTATTTATATCAGAAAACTTCAGATGCATCCTCACTCCAAAAATTCCAAAAGCGCTTTTAATTAATTGTTACTTTTGATAGAGACTTATAAAATAGGAAATGAACAAACAGAAAATATGGATAACAAATGGTTTTGATTGGTGTTCTTTTCTTTTTGTCAAACGTCTTTAAAAATGAACAGAATCTCTTTTTTTTTCTTTGTAAAAGAACTGTGTTTAATAAATAATGGGAAATTAGGCTTAATAGCCATAAAAAAAAACTTATTCACTAACTAACCAAAATCACCCCTCTCTCCAACTTTCTCTCCCTATCTCTCTCTACCATCTCTCTAAAAATCTAATTTACATTTTTTTTCTTAGCCATATAGCAAATAAGCCCTTTAATTATCCCAGTAGTAATAAAAGAAGTAAATCTAACAAACTACAGAAACGACCCATTAACCTCCAGAACATTAAGGTAGTGCATGTCAAATGTTTTCATTTTGTGCATGTCAAATGTTTTTCAACATTCAAACCAGTAATGAACAATAGTAAAAGAAAGTAAGACTAGTGTAGTAGAGTTCATAATCATATCATATTATTAGATCAACATTTGTATTATCTGTAAGTGAATATTTTGGTTGTCGGATCAGATTTGTATACTCATGCAGGCACTGAATATGTATCTACTATAAATTAGACAGTCCTCTTGGCGTTGCCAAATATTCTCTGAGTACAGACTCCTCGTCCATGTGTGTGTGTTGTGAAATGAATTAAAGAAGTCCATTCACATTTAAAACAAACAAGAATATTTTTCCTAGAAGTGCCATATTTATAAATTAACAACAACTCTTTTTCACTCTTTCCAGCTCAAATATCTTATAGTGTTTCCTTTTTGTTCTTCTCATGTTCGCACTATTTATTTATTTTGTTAATTTATTAAAACTAAGAAATATAACACATGACGATGTTGTTTTTGTGGGGGTCCTCTCACCCCTTGACGATAAGAATAACAAAAGATATAAGATAGACTAGATTTTGATCCGCGCTTGAAAGCACAAAATTTTTTTATGATTAAAAATTTATAAAATTGAGTTTTGTCTTAATTTAAAGAATGTTTTCGTATAAAATCAGTTCAGCAAAATTTGTGGTGATGATTGTTTTTCATTAGTTTTTAGTTTCAGTTTTTATTTTTAAATTTTGTTTTTGATTTTGGTTATTGGTTTTTAGTTTTTAAGTTTCTATTTTTGTTTTTCAGCTTTTGGTTTGTGTTTTTAATTTTTAGATCCGTTGAGTTAGTTTGAACTGATATTACCAACAAAAAAATCCTAAATAATCGAATATCTACTTTAAAACTGAAAAGACGACAAAAAAATTTGCAATAGTTTATTTTGTAAATAAAAAAAAAAGCAAAAAAATATAACTTGTGTTTTCATCGTTTGGTTTTGATTTTTGTTTTTAGATTTAGTTTTTGGTTTTGCTTTACATTTTTTTAAATCAGTAAATTATTTAAGAAAAGTAAAGCAATAAATTATTTAAAAGTTACCATTGAAATTTATCAAAATAAAATGATTGTTATTTAAAATAAAAAAATACATTAACATGTTTTAAAGTACATGATTTAAATAAATGATTAATAATAGACAATTTTTTTTTGTTACAAATATTAAATATCTTTTGTGCCTAAAAATAATAATTGATTTTTTGATTTATTAAGATGGAAAGTTTATTCAATATTTTTGGAGTGTTTCCTTAATACTAAACCCAAAAACCAAACTATATAATTTCTTCTAAAAACAAAAGTAAGTTCAAGACTATATCCCATAAATAATCATCGGTTTAATTTAAGTAATGCGGTTCAATTAATTATACGGTTTGTGTTACATATTTGTAACACTCTAGAAAATGTCCAAATTTAAATGACAACTTGTATCAGTAGATAAAAATAATGACTCTATTTTAATATATATATAAGATTCTGAAAATGCGTTAGTTGAATGAGACGAAATTTCATATAAAGTTCATTAGATATCACAAATAAAAAATATACATTAATAATTTATTTTTCATTTTGGTAAAATAAAAGTTAGTCGGGACCGTGTGGCTATTGGACGCTCCCAAAGGACGATCTTCTTTTCAAACCCACTAGGCACGCGCTCTTTTTAAACGACCGACAGTATAGAGAGATGTGTGTGTATATGGATTATCACACCCTAATATTTACAATATGGTTTAGCTTTTTTGTGTTCTGCTCGTCAACTATTACTTAATATCTAAGTTTTAAATACTGATTTAAATTCTTTAAGAATATGCGACATAACTATCAAACTATAAATATTCCATGTATGTCATTCTATGATTCAAATAAGTGAGCTGGAAAAAGATATTCAACTAAGTATTTTAAATAATTAAAAAGAATCATCTACATATGTTATGGAACTTGCTACCAATCATTTGAAATGTGAGGCCCCTCAAAAATGCAACTCGAACACATACACATTAAGTGATAGTTAAAATAAAAATAAAAATTCAACTATGTAAAGTAGAATAGAAAGATATATTATTGTGTTGTGTTTGATATGAGAGTACAAGATGTTAACACTAGATAATGCTAATTTTCCTAAACACTTATGTAAATATGCTAAGAATATCTTGAGATTAACTTGCTCTTCAAGTCTTTCCTTTTAGTCTTGAGGATCTTCATGGGTTTCATGGGCTTCACAATCTTGGTCCGTAAGATACACATCTTCCGGTCCAACATATCTCTATTACTCCCCCGCACGACAAACGTGGGATGCAACACGCAAATCTGCAATCACAAAGCAGACCACGTATGTCGTGGACACTATGTCGAGGAAAACAAATTAGTAGATTCCTTCGGGATTAAACTTCAACTTTGACAAGGAGGGATGAAAACTCCAGCTCTTCTTTGGTCTTGATAATGGGAATACATCCCGTGGGCGCAACTGCAACTCCATAAACAATTTTCCTTGACTTGGACAGTCCACAACACGGACTAAAAAAACAAAGACCTAAAGACATGAGCATAACAAAATAAACTCCCCCGTAATGGTTAAACTATAACCAAACTATTCCAAACTATGGAATACTTAAAACACGATCTTTGAGACATCCTAAACCTTAGAATATCTCACAAACAATTAACTAACCCATGAAATCCACTGCGACTTTTAATAAATCTTGCACTCACCAAACCAAAACCAATACTAGAAAAGAGAAAAAAACAAAACACTTTTGACTTACGAAACAAAAACTATTAATATTATTAACTAAAAACACCAAAACTAACGACTCATGACCACGTTATTGCGTCTTCATCGTCGGTATCATCACCTTCTTCTTCAACATCGCCAACACCAACGATGATAAACATCATCAAATTTTAAAAACTTGCCGAAGCTTTAATTTTGATCCCTAAAAATCGAATGCTCTGATACCATGTAAAGTAGAATAGAAAGATATATTATTGTGTTGTGTTTGATATGAGAGTACAAGATGCATATATATAATGGTAACATTAACATAATGTTAACACTAGATAATGCTAATTTTCCTAAACACTTATGTAAATATGCTAAGAATATCTTGAGATTAACTTGCTCTTCAAGTCTTTCCTTTTAGTCTTGAAGATCTTCATGGGTTTCATGGGCTTCACAATCTTGGTCCGTAAGATACACATCTTCCGGTCCAACATATCTCTATTAAACTACATTGAATATTTATGTTAGTTAAATCTCCACTCCAAGTCTTCAACTTACCGACAATGTAACATGAACGGGTTAGGTCTCCATTAGCTTGTCGTTAATCGTCATCGTATGGACACAGCAGGACAATTGCTACAAAACGGACGTCGCATCGTTATCTTATTCCTCATAACAGAGACCCCCAACATTATGACGAGTAAGCCACGCCATCAAAAGTCTTTATAAACTATGTTATATTGTAACATGTGATGGATTACATGGATTAAGCTATTAACATTTCAGGTTATTATGTGGAATGTATTTGTGGTTATTAACTTTGATTATGATACTTCCCAACAAGATATATGAAACTCTACATATATATTTTATGTTGCTTGTTTGAAAATAGGATATACGTAAACGTTAAATAAAAATGCATGACATGTAACTACTGGTACTATTGTTTTGTTTCTCAAGGTCATTGATCCATTCTGGTTATCTACGGCTACAAATTAATTATAAATATGACTATAACTACTGGTTCAGCATCCACGACTATGTGAAATAAAACCATATATAAGCTTCTCTGTTACAGTACTAAACACCCCCGTTTAAGTGGTTTCAACATGCATATTTTTAATTTATTTTTTTCTTTTGGAACACAACATGCATATTTTTAATTGATCGCCATAAACAACTATTTTAAAAGTCTTGTCAAATCGTTTCTTCGTAGCATCCATATCGACATAAACATTAGTAAATATAGATTAATTTGTTTCTATCCTCTATTGGCTATATATCGAGAAATATGTCAAATTAATTGGAAAAAATTTTGAAAGTAAGACAAAGGATAAGAAAACAATTATGACACAGTTACTAAGGCATATGCAATCTCAACTACATATCAAAATTATCTAGATAATGTTACAATAACAAGAGGCAGTGAGACACTGTATTACATAGGTCCATACATGCTTCAATCATTTGAATAAAAATAATGTAACACTATTCCCTTTCTTTTTTTTTTGTTAAATTTTGGTCCCTTATTTTTTTGCCTAGAACAATAGTTTAATTTAGAGTTTTATTAATATTAATATAGCATGATTATGCTAAAAAGAATGGACTTCGTCTCCATTTACAATCCAATTGGTTTTACAGTTTTACTCATTACATTAATTAAGGGAATCCTTACATTAATCATTTATTGTTATTTCAAACAATGATTAGGAAAAGGTAAAGCTGTGTGAGTAAGCATTATTGTTGAGCCCAAAAGCATCTATTAAAAGCCAATTACCGTACGTACGTCGGTTTGAATTGATTGATCTACACACATTTTAAGCGAGTTTTGGAGAAAGATTGATGAAAAAGATGAAAACAACGTCCCATCTCGATGTCCCATTTATTTACTCCAGATTGAGAAATGTGAAGTAGACATAAACTCCATTTATTTCTTAAAATGTGTAACTTATATTTAACGAAGATTAAAATACTATATAATAGACTAATATAATTTTATTTAATGTACAATTAATTAAATAAAAATAATTTAAATAAAATCTGTTGTTAATTAAAAAAATAGATTTAATACATAAAGTTGTATTGGAAATAAAGAATGACAATTTTTATGAAAAAAAAAAAAAATCTAAAGTGACACTATTTAAGAAACAAAGGAAGTATATATTTTACCGTTTCAAATTTTCCTTTTTATAAACTTCATAGTTTAGTAATTTTTTTTTCTTTTTGGAAAAAAGCTTTAGTTTAGTAATTAACTTCTCCAAATTAACGAGTCTGGTATCACAAATATTGATGGATCCACTTTGTTGTCCCGATAATTAATTGATTTGATATATGAGACTTGGATCACAAATCTAGACTGATCTATGATAAAAGCACAAGAGAAAACCATGTACACTACTAACTAGTATGTAAATGACATATGTACGTATAAGTTCTATAATATTTAACAGGAAAAAGAAAAAAATACAACATGGTATGGTATGAGACTATGGGTACTATGAGAGAAAATTTGATCGGTACAAATAAATATATCATGTTTCCTTCACGAAATGTAAATTAAAAATTCTCTAAATGGTTGATATTATTAAATATGTACTTTTTATTTTCTTATAAAATATGTAATTTTTGTATAAAATATGCAATTACTAAAGGCGCACACATATTTGGTTGGTTTACAAACTTTTAAATAGGTTGGAAAAAAAAAGTTTGGAACAGGTTAAATATAAAAATAAGAGAGAAGGACCCCCCCCTACCATTCAGTAGAGGTAACTGAAAAGCGACAAGTAGCATACATTGAAGAGTAACAGTATAGTGGCCCTTATCTTATCTTTCTGATGAATCATGTTCCTTTCGTAACGTTGATGTCTGTAGATACAATGATATAATGAAACCTTTTTCATTTCAAATTTAGTTCAGAAACACTAATATATTGTTTTGGTTGCATATCAACGATTCAAACTGTGACCATTGAGACAAAGTTAGGGCCACATACAGCTTAGCAAACAAGTACACATTGTTATTGTTGTTCATGTTTGTATCAGAAACCATAGCGAGACCGCATCACATTGCGTACACAATCTCTCCGCTACTGTCGATGTCAAGATCATCCAAGTCACTCTCTAGATCTTCCTCCATATCATCATCATCTAGATCCAAGCTTCCTGTTTTGTCACCATTGTTAAGAACTTTAAGATAAACAAGAAACTGAAAAAAGGTTTTCTATTTTCTTTTGTTTTGTGTTGTTTCTTTCACCTGTGAGATAATGGTTTAGACTCTGAGTGCCAGCAGCAGGAACTGTTGCTTCTGCAATAATCTGCATGATCTCTTCAATGCTTTGACATGGTTGATCCGTTTCGTCAAACTGGCTATTCATTGTGTCATCGTTCATGAGATCTGCAGGTAGATTCTTAAGAAACCATTCATGGTTCCTTATCTCAGGAATTGATATCCTCTGCAAGAAACCAACCAAGAGAGAAAAGCTGAACAAAAAACACATACAAAACGTGGCATTCAAGGTATCTTTATGCATATACCTTAGCAGGATCAGCAACGAATATTCTGGAGATCAAGTGGCGACATTCAGGAGATATGTGAACATAATCAGGAATAGCGTACTGAACATTCAGGATTCTCTAATAAAGCAACAGAAACATAATATTTAGCTATTTATATTGTGGAAGAGAACAATTTTTTTTCAATGAATAGAAACCATGAAGGAAAGAAAGCTATCTCACATGTATAGTTTTCTTGAAATTCTTAGGCTCTTCAGGATCTTCAAAAGGATATGCTCCAACTAACATAACATACAGAGTTACTCCACAAGACCAAACATCTGCAACCTGATGAGTTATGATGCATTTGACCAATTCAATTCAAGATTGTCTCTGTTCCTATACTAGACAGAAATATTTGTTTGTATAATATATGGTTTTAGTATTGGAGGTACCTTGCCATCATATTCTTTCTTTAGCAAAACCTCTGGAGCGATATAAGCAGGAGTTCCAACTGTTGATTTTGGTTGTGAATGTAACACCGAGGACTGAAAAAACAAACAAGAGTTATTATTGAAGACATAATGTAACACAAGACCAAAACGTTATTGATGAAAGATATATCAATCTGTGTGTTTTGTCAAAAGAAAACATACCTTGGAATATCCAAAATCACATATCTTTAGACGAGGTGCAGGGCTACCATCTAGTAACGTATTCTCGAGCTTCAAATCTCGGTGACATATTTGCTACAAAATCAAAGTGAATCACATGAGATGAGAGAGCTAGTTAATTTTTTAACAGAGGATCTAAAACAGAGCATTACCATAGCATGACAGTAACTAACTCCTGAAATGAGTTGCTGGAAGAAAAACCTTGCCTACAAGGGTATTAATCAATACATTAATCTCATCTTAGATTTTATTCATCCAAGCCAAATAATAAATGATAAGAAGACATACCTCATCTTCGCTGAAACGGCCTGCATTGCAGATACGCTCAAAGAGTTCTCCTCCAGCTGCGTATTCCATAGCAATGGCTAAATGGGTTGGTGTTAATATGACCTGAAACCAAATATTTAATATTTAATATTTAATATATATATATACTAGGATTTGGCCCGCCCTACGGGCGGGGTTCTGTGAATTTTTTTGCGTTTTTTGTTGTATTAATTTATTTTTATTTTATTCTTAAGGTATTAGATGTTGTTTTGTATAGTGGATTGGTTTATTGTTAAATTTTTAAATATTGTATGTTAAATAAATAGTTATTATAAAAACAAAAGGGATTATCGAGCAAAATATAGNACTAGGATTTGGCCCGCCCTACGGGCGGGGTTCTGTGAATTTTTTTGCGTTTTTTGTTGTATTAATTTATTTTTATTTTATTCTTAAGGTATTAGATGTTGTTTTGTATAGTGGATTGGTTTATTGTTAAATTTTTAAATATTGTATGTTAAATAAATAGTTATTATAAAAACAAAAGGGATTATCGAGCAAAATATAGACATTTATTTGGGCGGGATTCTATTTTTCATGTTCCATACGGATTTATATTTTTTGTTATATTATCTTTGTGTGTGCTGATCCATTTTAGGTGAATCATTTGTTTTGAATAGCAGTTTTATTGTGTTAGTACGTTGTATATGTAGGTGTATGTCAGTATCTGGCGAGGATTATATTTGGTTTATATAAATTGTTGTTACGTGCTGTAGTGTGGTCTGTGGAGGAACAGTCGTTCTTTGGTAATACGGAACTCTTGATTTGTACCTTTGATTTTATTTGTATTTTTGGTTCGGTTGATATTAAAAGCGTGAGAAGCGGTAACTTCTTTTTTAGTTATAATGGATCATATTGCCGAACTTATAATATACTGTTTATGAAATATAATATTACTTTTCATAGAGATTATTATGTTTAGTTTCATTAGTAATTGGTCGGTGCTGCCTTATAGTGTTAGGCTTTTGATTAATTTATTGTGCTTTTTTTACATGCGTGTTGTGGAGCGGTGTTGCATGGTTAATGTGTTTAGACGTAACGTACGTTCATTTTTTTTTGTTTTGGTCCATTTTTATTTTTTTCCTGGTGGGACTATGTAAATACAACTTTTGGAGTCATATAATGGTTGACTTTTTGTACTTAATAAAGTCGTAAATGTTGTATAGGTAGTTTCTAATTGCGGTATCGAGATAGATAAATGCATAATCTTATTAATGTTGAAACTGGAAACACATAAATGAATTTAGAAAGATACATAATTGTGGTGGAATCAGTTCCGTTCTAAGCTAATAGTTTCAAAGTTTCTGCCAAAAGTAACCTGAACAAACCTACGTTGCTGACTTGCTCTTTATTTGGTAGAAGTGGGGATTCAGAAGTCTGCATGTTACCAACCGTTAGCCATGGACGGTTCTCGGTGTTGCTCTGAATTTGGGAAGGTTCACTTCCAACTGCAAGTAATTACTGATTATTATAACCACTGGGTGCCTGCCTCCGAGGTGTTGTGGTTAGGTGCAGACATGTACATACCTGGAGTAGCATAAGGTCTTCCACGTTTCTTAAATGTCTTACTTGTACCTGATAGAGTAAATAATTTACGTGAGTTATAGTGAGATATATAACGCTGGAACCACTAAAAACTTACTCGTAGAACATAATCTCCCCTGCAGAAGTCTCTTTATCGAAAAAAATATGAGTTGCTGATGTTGCGTTCAAAAACAAACGTCCTACTAACAGAGATATAATGTCTGCTCAGAAAAATGCTTGGTGTCTCGAAGTGCAAATAGTTTTTAAAGTAGAATCATAATCTATAAAATATATGAATCAGTACGTTATTTAGAAGAAGAATTGTACCTCCAACAATTCTAGGATTGATGTTTGTTGCGACCACAACTCTAGGATCACCTCCAAAGCCTTCCAGTTTCTTGTGAAAAGAGACCACTTGTGAGTCAAACAGGCTTACTGTCACAGTTTACATCACTACCAACGGATAAACAGTTGAATTAAATGATCAACCCATATTTCTACGACAGGCTTCATATATATAGTAAGATAGAGTAAATGGCATTATTTAGTAAGACATTAACTTATTCATTTTCACAGTTGCCATAACACGTTCATTGCTCTGAGGACCATCACCTACTATACTCTTCACAGCGGTGAGCTCCCCTATAATATCTGAGAGTCACTGAAAAGGATTATTATCTTCATATAATTATAAGGCTGGAAGGACACTATAAAAAATATTTTGTACCTGGGAGTTGTGTATTGGTATTAGCCAAGCCGAACAGGGAATCGTGATCACAGAATCTAAATCGCTCCTCAGGTATCGGTGCCACCGGCTCGGCTAACTCAACAAATGCAGTGGAATCA